TCCCCCGTTAATACTTTGGGTCAAATGTACCCTTCCCGCTACCAAAATGGGCTATATTTGCCCTTACTTTCAAATGGCGGAAGCTTAGCACCTCATGATGCCTCATGTCCCACAATTCAGTCATAACTTTTTTTAATAAAGGGAAAATTTGCACCTTTCGCATAGTTCAGGGGGACTTTTGGTCCTTCTCCCAATTAAAAATAATATCTAATCAAACATCATATTCTTAATAATCAAGCACTCGAAAGGAGGTAGTGTTGTTAACCTAACTTTTCCATCTCTTATAGAAATTTAATGATATCTTGTAATACACCCAGACTTCTAATGACAAGTAGACATTGTGGAAGAAAAATATCCATATAGGCGATACCAACTAATCGGGATTGGCATAGTCATATTTGGGGCATATGTAGTCATATTTGGGGCATAGTCATGTTTGTAAGCTTACATTAGTTGCAATGTTATACTAATAGACATTTTGCATCTGCTTCCAGAGTTAGAGAAGCAAAATAATAGAAACGAGTCAAAATGGAACCAAAGAATTACATAACCGACCCAACTAGCTTGCGATTGAGAATGTAGTTGTTGATCAAAATTTATTGATTCTATTTACGACATTCACACAATTCAATACTCTCTAGCACAGCACATGTGTAAGTCGGAGTTTACAAGGAATTTAACCCTAAACCATATTTATATATAAGAGAATTGAGAATGCAGTTCAGTTACCTTTTTAACAGAAGCAGACCAGGACAAAGTGAGACCAAGGAAGACAATGAAGAAGAAAGGACCCCAGAGATCCCAATCTCGAAGCGCTTTCCCCGGATCTTCTCTATAGGGATTAGGGAAAACCACCAACTTCAAATTGCTAACAATTCTGGACAGATCTCTTTTGACGGTGTCCCAAACGGGCTCGGTAAGCGTATTGGGCGGAGATCCGAATCCCGTAGCGGTTATATTCGACTGTCCAGCTGATGAAGGAAGCGGAGGCGGAGCGGGAACGGAAGGGACATGTGTCGGCTTCTGATTGGCGGTAGGGGGAGGTGGAGGGCGGAGATTGGAAGGCATGAAAGGAGAAGAAGAAACAGGGATGGCAGCACGAGGAGGAGAAGGAGGGCGAGCTGGAAGGACAGTAGAAGGATGGGAATAGATGAGGTTTTCGATTTCATCAATGTCCGATTGGGATGTGGAGTTAAGAGGTATTGTGTCTCCTTGTGACATTTTTTGTCAGATTTGCAGATTCTGAGAGGAGAAATGCAACAGATTCAGGCACTGGAGTGGGGAACGGGGGAAAAAGGTGATCGGAGACGGGGAAGGCGGGGTTGCGTGTTGGAGTCTGGCTGAGTTGTAAATGCAGGGAAATGTGAATGTTGTATTGTATACGTGTTGTACCCCTCCCCCCCCCCTCTTTTTTTTTAATATTTACAAAATGAAGGAAATAAGGTATGAAAAACGATATCATTGGACCTATGACCAAAATAGAAACTAAATGTACAAATTATAGAAACTAGATACAAATTAAACTAAGTAATGTAGGTAAAACTAGACCTAGATAAAAGCATAAAAATAATAGATTATACATATAGAGCCACTAATTGTTGATCCAATAATTTTGAATTGGGTTAAGAGAAAATGGCTTTGGTATTTTTAATTTACTCAAGCAAGATGGAGTAGTCAACAACCAATTTCCTTCATCATCTAAGGCCTTGTTTGCTTTAGGACTTTAAATTTAACTAAAGTTTTATTTTATATAATTTTTTAATCCTTGTTTGACCAATTTTTATACGAACTTTCAAAGTGCTTTTGGAGTTTAATACGTGGCAGTTAATATCCTAACATTAAATGAAACAACAACAACATTTAAATAACATCTAACAAATTTAAAATAGAAATCTCTTAAAACATTACAACCCCAAAACCGGTAGTACAAGCCATAAGCTCTACAGAGTTTGCTACAACTGCTAAATACAACTGTTGCAAATAAGTAAGAACAGTGTGTATACAAAATAGGAAGGTGACTCCGAAGCCTGCGAACGTAGCAACAGGTTTACCTTGAGTCTCCACGCAACGATCCGCACGGCTACTAACAAGCAAGAAATACCTGGATCTGCATAAAAATGTGCAGAAGAGTAGCATGAGCACACCACAACGGTGCCCAGTAAGTATCAAGACTAACCTTGATGGAGTAGTGACGAGGAACAATCAAGACACCTACTGGTCTAATAAAGTGTGCAAGTATAAGTAGATGAACAACAAAACATGATGTCTATATAAAGGCTACGCGATATGGCTAACAATACAACAATTACAATAAGGAAGGAAAACAGCAAGTAACAGCGGAAACACCATAATAATGACATAGAAGAACGAGCGGAAATACAAACCAAATCCTAAATGATCACAAATACAGTAAAGGCAAGTAATAACTCAGCAACTAAGACAATTTTCACATCAGCTCTTAGCCAACAAACTCCACGAAGTACCGAACCTCGGACAAAATTACAGCTCACGGGTCCCAATACCTGGACCCTAACACTTGGCATCCTGTGCCCTCATCACACCTCATGATCACGTTGATAACTCACTTGCTAAATAGATCCACTCTCACATATATGACAAGTAAACGGGGGTGTACATCTATACTCAACAATATCAGGAGGGCTTCTTATCCAATAGGAGTGTTTAACTACGTGTATGCTTGTGCAAGTGCTCTAACATAGATCATACCAGCTAAAAGCGTAAGGAAGAGAACAGACATCACGTAAGATGTTTTCTTATAACTTTCACAAGATAAAGCTCATACAGGTAAGCGTACCACAACACAATATCAACAACAAGAATGCCCCCAGGCCATCACGAATCATCACAATCAATCCCTAACATAGCCTACCTTGTCTCGCCACATGTGCAATAACAATATAGTAAGTGCCCGCCTTGTTTCACCACACGCGCATCACAATGTTCCCACCTTGTCTTGCCACATGCGCAACCCCCCCCCCCCCCCACACACACACATATACATATATATATATGTATATATATATGTATATATATATATCCCGCCTTGTCACGCCGCATGTGCATAATCAATAGTAACAACAGCACGGCAGAAACCTCGTGCAACCCCATAACAACAACCGCATGGCAAAAACCTCTTGCACCACCACAACAAGTACAACAACAGCAATGGTAGTAAATACGAGAACACGACAAGTGAATCAACTCGAGAGATTTCGATCACAAAGAGACGGTAAAACTAGCTCACAAGGAATAACCACCATAGGGAATACTAAGCGTAAATAAGAACAGCTTAATAAGGGAGAAAATAATATGTAACAATGATCTCACAATATACAATCCAACAACAAAGAAGCTAACACGAGTAAGATAATTACAATAAGTACATGTCGACTAGAATATAGGGTGTCTAAACTTCTTTTAAGGTTGGGCAATTACTAAGAGTTTACACAAATTTCAGTTTAGGATAAGCAGCGGGGGAGATAATCATAATCTCAATTAAGACTAAACAATTACATAGGAGATAACAATGAATTCCAAATAAAGACCAGCAGCTATGGACAAAAGATAGCATGACAATACGAGAGGTAAAAGTCTTCAGTTAAGTCAAATAAGAATCAAATAGGCAATAAGAGTGGATTATGAAACAATAGATTTCAATTAAAACATATAGAGGTGAAACTAGCAAATAGAAACTCAATCACAGCAAGAACAACTTCCTACTTAGTGAATATAAGGACCTAAGAACCCTAAAAGGCCAATTTTCCACAAATAAGTCTGAGCACGCACTCGCCAAGTCGCGTACAAGGACAACAATCAGCATAGAAGACTCAAATCCTAGGGGGAAATCCCCACACAAGGTTAGGCAAGATACTTACCTCAAAGACGACAAACCAATACTCTAAAATGAACTTGTCTGGTGGAAAGGCCTCCGGACGGCTTAAATCTAACCAAAATAACTTCAAAGCACAAATAAAACACATAAGAAACTATTCTGGATCATAAAGTCTCAATCTTTAACAAAATCCAAAAATCGGTCCAAAAGTCGACCCCCGGGACCGCACCTTGGAACCTGACAAATTTTATAAAATCCGAATACCCATTCCCATATGAGTTCAACCATACAAAAATTATCAAATTCTGATACTATGGTCCCTCAAATAAAGATTTTTCATTTTAGAAATTTTCTTCAAAAACCAACATTTTGCTCAACCCCAAACACAATTTAAATGATGAAAACAAGGATAAAGTCATGGAATATGTTAAATTCTAGGTGAAGAGCACTTAACCAATCGATTTTCTTGAAAACCCCAAAAAGAAGCTCCCAAAATCGAAGTCCAAAACTCAAAATATGAAGAAAATAGCCAAACCCTCTATATAAAGGATTCTGCCCAGCACTTCCGCATCTGCGGACACTTAAGCGCATCTGCGCTATCGTATTTGTGGGAAGATCGCATTTGCAATTTTGACTTACAGGCATAGGTCCGATCTGCGGACAATTAGCCGCATCAGCGGTGCCGCAGCGCAGAAGCGGACTCCTTCGCAGATGCGATAGACCAACCGTAGAAGCGGTTTCGCACCTGCGTTCCAGCTTTCGCAGAAGCGAGCTAACTTCCACGCCTCAAAGATCGCACATGCAATTAGGCTCACGCAGAAGCGGAGCCGCACCTGTGCTCCAAGGTTGCAGGTGCGAAAACACCAGAAATCAGACATGTTCCAAAACCATGCAAAACATCCGAAACTCGTCCGAAACACACCCGAGGTCCCCGGGACCCCGTCTACACATACAAACATGTTCTATAACCTAACACGGACTCGCTCGAGTCTCAAACCATATCAAACAACGCCGAAAATGCAAATCACGCAATGAATCGAACTATAAACTTCCAAATCTTCCAACTTTGAAACCTCGTGCCGAAACCAATCAAACCAACCCGGAATGACGGCAAATTTTGCAGACAAGTCCCAAATGACAAGATGAAGCTTCTCCAACTCTCGAAATTGCATTCCGATCCCGATATCACAAAAGTAAACTATGGGTCAAACTTCTCCATTTTCCAAACTTCAACTTTTCCAACTTTCGCCGAAATGCCTAAAATTACCTACGGACCTCCAAATCCGAATTCGGATGCACACTAAGACCCAAATCACAAAACAAAGCTGTTGAAATCATCCAAAACCCATTATGGAGCTGTTTACACAAAAGTCACATTCCGGTCAAGTTCTCACCGCCTAAGCTTCCAAAACTAGATTCCTTCTCCCAATTGGACTCCGAATCATGCGGTAGCTGAATTCGACCACGCACGCAAGTCGATACACATAAAATAAATCTTTTCAAGACCTTACGCTACCGAACGGAGCTTAAATTCTCAAAACAACCGACCGGGTTGTTACACAATTACACAAGAAAAGGTTTGGTTAATATATAAACTATTATTTGATGAACTTTTAATGAACATAAAAGAATACCTAAGTTGCAAAGAACAAATTACACATGTTAAACCATACATAATATGATAAAATAAAGAGATATTAAGTGAGGTATAACAATATAATATATTTGTATCTTATATAATAAGATATCACTAACACTATAACAATATAACATATTTGTATCTTATATTGTAACGACCCGACCGGTCGTTTTGCTTTCTAGATTCTCGTTTTCCTAATTAAGACTCCTTGTATGTGCTTTTACTGCTTTATGACTTGTGGGGGTGGTTGGTTTAGGTTTAGAAGGGTTCGGGTTGATATCAGAACACTTAGTTCCTAAATTATAGCCTAAGGGGGCCAAGTTTGACTTGAGTCAACATTTTGGGTAAACGACCTCAGAACCAGGATTTGAGGATCTCAATAGGTTCGTATGATGATTTTGGACTTGGGAGTGTGTTCAAATCGAGTTTCGGGTACCCGGGAACGTTTCGACGCCCAATGTGGGAATTTGGTTCATTGAAGGTCTTTCTAGTTCCTTAAATTTGGTTTGGAGTAGACTTTGATGTTATTGAGGTCCAGTTAGGATTCCGAACCTGGGAATAGTTCCATGTGGTGATTTGTGACTTGCATGCAAAATTTGGCGTCATTCCGAGTTGATTTGATAGGTATCGAACGCGCGGAAGTATTTTTGTAGAAGTTTTTGAGTTTCATGTCGAATTCATGCATTTTGGCATCCGATTCATGATTCTAGATGTTACCTTGGTGGTTCGATTGCGCGAGCGAGTTTGTATTATGTTGTGGGATGAACCAATATAATTGGACGGGGTCTCGGGGGGTGCCTCGGGTGCGAATCAAATTGGAATCGGACATGGTTTTGGACATGGAAGACTGCTGGTGGCTTCAGATCTGGTGCAATCGCACCTGCGTGGAAA